TTAGGGTATCTGTCAGTATAGTAACCAGCTGCGCGTATGAGCTCCTGAACAGTTTCTCAAAGAAGGAACTTCACTGAAGCTCAACACTCTTACAGTTTTCTGCATCAGCCAGTATACCTCTCTCAGCGTGGTCCAGCTAGCTGCCATATTTTTACTGAAAATTACGATTACACAAGAGGCTTAGTCCCAAAGACACATATTGCTAGAAGCTATGGATTCAAAAAAAGCCAAAGAACACACCCCCAAACCAATCCAATCCAAACCAAAAGGATAGTTTTCCACAGGGCAGCAGATGGGAAACTGAGTATCTGAGACAGGTACAGAGTTACAGGCTGAAGTGATGCTTAGCTCTTTCTAATTTTCCTTCTCACAACTTTGCATCTTACCATTTCTGTGCTTATATGAATGACGTTACTAGGATTTTAAGTTGAGAGAACAAGGTGTGTGTGATGTACCAGTGCTGTGAATCAGCAGAGGGCACTACATGCCTATAAACTTATGGAATTGTGAATTAACATGCAGAGTGACATCTTGGTGAAGTTAGCATCAGTTACTCCAAGGTTTAGACGATTTAGCTGAGGGAATATCTGTGCTCATTCAGTGATGTAGAGAATGCACCACACCATCTCATTTCTTCCAATGAAAGCTGGCTATATTTATAAGATGTTTATACTGTACTATAAAAAATGCATAGATCATTGGCACCAGGGGCTTCAATTCACAATATTGCATCCCACCTGGGCACTACCTGGGTATATAATGTTTCAGGGAGCATTCTGCTTGGGCCTGCAGAAGCAGGCTTTCTCCTGAGATCCTACTCTGCACTGACATACTGATGATATTTCCTGGCAGAGCATGTCCTTTCTCAGCCAACCATTCACTCACTCTCACCCTCCCAGAAGAAAGTGTGTGGGATCCAGTCCCTATGCCCTCCCAACTACTGGGGATGATATTCAGAGGGCTGCTGATGTTCAGTTGCCATGCTGTGGTTTTTTCCCCTGTAATAACCCATTTCTTGTGTCAGCTATTTGACCTGAAACAGAGCTGATGCATACAGAAAATTTTATTTCTGTACTACTGTTATTACATGGGTCCAGTGTACCTAAGCCAAATGTTCATTGACATGAAACAGATGGATGAGAAAATCTATTTGGAATTGTAATATTTGCAACAAACACTGGATTTCTCATTTCCCTGCTTGTTTATTCTTGAGACAGCTGGGTTGCATGAATTTCCTCCCTATAGTTTCACGTTCTTCAGCATGCTTTAACCCATACTGCAGCAACAGCCTTTGTAAGCAGCAAGTGACCCATACAATAGCAGGTAGACCTCCAACTGCTGATGCTGGTGTTCTTCTTTTGGAAGCATTGCAAGTGGTTTCTAAATGAAATGGTTTCTAAAATATATATATATATGTATATATATATATGCCTGTATTAAATACTACTAAGTCCTGGGGGGGAAAAAAGTTAAGAAATATTTTTGAGCATGATAGGATTGGTTTTGAAATATGTCAAATGATCAGAAGGGGTGGTTATTATTTCTGTTTTTATACTGCTCTGATTTAGGTAAAAAAATATTTGCAAAGGAAATGTTTTGTGCATCTTGGGGCATAGTTTTCATCTGTGTCTTGTTTTTCTTTAGAGATTGTACAGCACCGGGAGGTATGGAGAATGCTATTCCAGCAATATGATAGAAATAGCCCAATTTTGCCTAAATATCAGTAAGGCTGTTGTTTTTGCAGAAGTGCAAGTTCATCAGAAGTAGAGCTGAAATGTTTCAGTTGGTTGGAAACTATTCAGAGCTATGTGTAGTCTTTCTTTGGTGCTGCTATTTTTGTTTCTGTGTAGAGCCTAGTCTTGCAGTTTCTTCTCAAACAAAATTCTGATTGACAGCTCCTGGAATTTTTTCTGTGTAGGAAATAAGTATCAGGCCTTAGGTAATGTCTTAGGAGCTCTTGAAAGTAACTTTCACAGGAGACTCCCTCACTTTTATGATTGTTTTTATTTTTCCAGGTTGAAGTTTGTTCTTGTGCTTTATGAGACTTGTCACCCCAGATTTCTGCACAAGAGACATACCCAAGGTTTCCCTTTCAGCAGTTCAAATGCAGTGAAATAGAAGAATACTAAAACAAAGATATGTTTTGTGTGTCTCTCAGCCGTGCGCTCATGAGGAAGCACTGCAGGGAATTCATAAGACTTGAGTTAACTCAGAGGGGATAACTCGGTTAGGATTGCCTCTGGCAGAGCAGGAAGCTCAGAACAAAATCAATAATTGGAATAACCCATTCTGATGCTGTCCTGGTTTTCTTGGTAACAGCAGTCTATGTTGTTTCATGAATCTAAACCTGGGAGATGCCGGATACTTAAAACCAAACTGATATGCTCTGTCTTTGGAATACCTGCACAGTGTTTACACTAGTGAAGGGTGGCTCCAGGTTTCAGCAGAAGGCATGGTAAAATTGACTTCTTGCTGCCATAGGAGTTAGCTATGGAGTTTTAATGTGCCCAAAAAGGCTAAAAGCTAATTATCAACATGGTTCAGATGTTACTAGCTGGGACAGGAAGGTACTCAGTCTGAGAGCTTTTGCAACTCTTTTCATAGCCCTTTGGCAGCAGAGTATGAAGGTGTGCCCCAGGTCAAATTGATTTCATGTTAAGGGATTCCGTAATAGTACCCAAATGTCCACGTTGAGACCAAATGCTTCTGATGAAACAAACTCGCTGAGTTCATCTCCATCTACAGGGATATGTTTTCCTGATTCCAATTTACTGTATTTTCATATGGGTGAGCACAAGAGCTGTTGAAATACCCTTTTGTTCCATGCTGAATGGGGAAAAAAACCCCACCACCTCCATTTTCTGGAGTATTTGTGAACGTGTGCTGTAATGTCCATTCTTAAATTGGAAATGCTAAGTTTTCAACCTTGCTACCTCTGGCCCATTAAGTAACTGGAGATCTACTCTGGCTGTGACAAAACTTCTGACTAAAAGCTATTTAAAATGTGGTGGTTTGGCATTTTACAAACCATAGTCTCTCCTCAAAGCACTGCAAAATGAATTTGTTGTTTTGCAGCTGCTACTTATGTCCATGTACCAGAGAATTAATACCTTTCCTTCCATACTTTGCTTTCTTCCTAACTTTAATTACTTTGGTGTTGCTGACCATGATTCCATTAGTGTCCTGCATCTGTACAAAGACTAGGTGAAAAAACAGTTTCTTCACATTCTCTAGCCTGTTGGGGTTTTCTTAAACTAATTTTCTCTTATTCTTATCCTTAGGTTTGATTTTTGGCCTTACTGCTTTCTTAAGTGTCTCTTGCTTTGAATTACAAGTCCTCAAAGTTATTAGCCAGCATATTTCAAGGTTATATCTCATTTTATTATTTCTGGACCAAGTTTTGAGTCTTTCAGGATCCCCTTGTACCCTTTTACTGTCTCTTCTGGTGCTTGCAAACACCTGCAGACTTGAATAATGTGCTCTGTCCCTTCTTTCACATTATTAATAAAGAGCCTAAATCAAATCAAGCCTGACACTTTTTCGAGTAAGTGGTCTTCTGATACTTCTTGTCAACAAGACACAGTGTTGTTGTTGTTACCTGGTTGTAAATATTAAATCTTGATGCAGTATTTCTTTTGTAAATTTTTTTTTTTAGTGATAGGTTGGTGTGGCGCTGCATCAAATATCTATTAAAAGTTAGTACTTCTACCAATTGACATTCATGCCGATGCAGTGCCCACTTAAATATATAATTTAATATAAGCTTTGAAAAATCAGCTGTGGCACACAATATGGCCTTTATGGTTTATCTATTTTATACGGTCCAGAATGCATTGTGAAAAAATGAGTAACCACATAATGTTAATGAGCACTTCTTTGTGAATTTTTAAAGCCGTTATGCTGCCATCCATATAGTCAGGCAGGGAAATCCCATGTAAATAAAATAGCTCTACAAATTACCTGTCTTCTTCCACTCTTAATTCAGCTAGACATTCTGCCTATCTAGTAGTGGTGATATAGATATATAAAATCTAACTATTAAATATATAACAATGTAATTAGGATTTCTTTATTGGCCACACTATCACTTTCTCGGATTTATGGCCAGAGGTGTTGGATTGGAAGAGTAAGTCATTATTAGTAAATGCTACATTTTCTGTAAGGCTAGGGATTTTTAGGTTAGCTGAAACCATTTTTTTCCAGGAAGGTCTCTGAGCTATGATTTTAGTGTATAATAAAGCTCATCACAGCTACTTTTGTCTGATTTTGAAAGAAAAAAAACCCCCACTAAATACAGTTAACAGTTCAGTCCTTTAATGAATGTTTAGGAGAAAAAAAATGTAAGATGTGTTTCTCTCTTTCAGTAACAAATAGACAGTTTTTTATCTTAATTGAGCAATGCTGTTCCATCTCATTTTCTTGGTCTGATCTTAGTGACTCTACTGCAGGATACTAATTTTGTTGCCCAGAAGTGCCTAATGTAAAGCTTTGAAGATACAAGGCAGTATCAGTTCTGCACACAACTGACTTAATTCAACTGTGTATCACACCAAAGTTGCATATGTAGAGTAACAGGATTGCAGAATGGTTGAGGTTGGATGGGACCTCTAGAGGTCATTTGGTCCAACCCCTCTGCTCAGGCAGGGCCACCTAGAGCCAAGTTGCCCAGGACCATGTCCAGGCAGCTTCTGAGTATCTCCGAGGATGGAGATTCCACAACCGCTCTGGGCAACCTGTCCCAGTGCTCAGTCACCCTCAAAGTTAAAAAGTGTTTCCTTACACTCAGATGGAAGCTCCCACGTTTCATTTTGTGCCTATTGCCTCTAGTTCTATATGCACGCACAGACACGAACTGTCAGAAGCTGTTAGATGTACTTACTAAATTTGTGCTTTCTTCTTGTGAACATTTAACCATTTGGTGCAGCTTCCCACACATAGAAGCCACGATTATGGTTGTATTTAGTTTTGATGATTTTTTTTTTTTGTTTTTCATCTTGTAGGGCAAGTCTTACCCCTTTAAAGGTCCATTCCCTCCTATGTGGAATCCATTGGCCTACCTGGACTACAACAACCTATGGAGGACCATGGATGAAATGGGAAAGGAGGTACGGCATAAGGAATTATAGCTGACTGTCTCCGCTCAGCTTTGTCTTCATGAGGGGCAGAGTGAAGACGGTATGAGGATGCAGCTAGGATAAGCTGCTCTGGCTTGAACAAACCTGGTGCTGGCAAGAGCAGCATTGTGCCATGCATTTCGGTACATGCTGAAGGTCAGAGCACATGTTAAAAGTGGCATCCTGGCAAGCTTTTCTGAAAGCCATGCTGCTGAGGCTGTCTGTAGTCATACCTTCGATTTCTGGATATGTGAACATTAGGGTTTATGTGTATGATTTTTAGCACTTTACCTGACAATTGGGTAAGTAATATTTTAAGAGTCTTGTAGACTTCAAATGTATTCCCTTCTCCGCTCTCAAATTCAGCTCAGCCGTTTTAGTTTGTTACCAGTAGTGTGTTTACCATTGACTGAGCTACAAGACTTTGAGTAGAGGCTGGTGTTACTTGCATAGATGAATGGGAGAGAGATGGAATAACTCAGAGACATTCCCCAGCACCATACTTTACCTTTGTAGGCAAAGTTCTTAATTATTTTCTATCCTTAAATCTAAAAAAAAAAAAAAAAAAAAATCTTAAAAAAAAACTAAAATAACCTTTAAAGTTTATTTGACTTTCCCTTCCACAGGTGAAACTTGAAAATCTTAAAACAAACAACAAAAACTGAAAAGCATCCTCTGTTAAGTTCCTTATATTACGTGACAGAAATTTGCAGGCTGAATTACCATGTAAAGATGAGATTGGTTTTGACTGTTTGTGTTTGTTGTTTCTTTCTTATGCCACTCATTCATTTGCCGATGAATGCTCTTTTATTTCTCCTCAGATTCCCAGTGAAGCCCCATGGAAGGCTCCACATGCAGAAGAATGGGACAAAATGACTATGCAAGATTTCATAGATAAAATTTGCTGGACAAAGTAAGAAACGCTTTAATACAAAATATAATAGCTTATATTTATTTCTTAGAGCTTTGCAAACAGATACAACTACTACTAGGATACAGCCTTTTTAAAGAAATAGGGTGAGAAAATCTTGTAATAATGGACCACGACACCTGCCAGCACACACAGTAGATTCTGTTATATTTCCATAACTTTTTAGACTTAAATAAAGATAAAAGGAAAATGTATGTGGGGAGGGTTACTTCTGAAGACATAGGTAGTACCTTCATCTGTTATATGCACTTTCCCTCTTTTTACTGCATGTTTAACTTTTATGAGAAAAATGCTCTGGCTACAGCAGGTTTTCAAGTCAAACTTTTGATAGAACAACACACATTTATTCTGTGATTTTAGCAAAGTGCTATAAAAATAGCATTTGTCTTGAAATGGCACTAAATCATTTTAAAACCCATCATTCTATTGTTTAACTGTTGCACTATATACCACCCAGGGAAACTGAAAATGCTTCCTGTTTTTATGTATACATCAAAGCAATTTTTCTTTACTTGCCGTTCAACAACAGTTTGATTGGTTTTCTTCGCACTGAAGCAAAAAAACCCCATTAATTCTGCCTTGCTGTAAAGCAGATTGATTTCTACAGCAACATCTTCAGAATTGCTAAGCACCCAACGTGGCTGCAGCAAGCCTGCACAGGGCTTGGTGCAGAAATGTGCTAGCACCCAGTCAAGCCAACACTGTCATCAACAGGGGCATTTTTATGGCTTCAGCCAGCCTCTGGAGAGCAATGTGATCGTTGTTACTGGACAGTAGGCTCTTGTCCAAAAACTTTTAATCCTCTGGCTGTTTTGCTTTAACAAGAGTTGCAATTGCACAGGCGGATATAGAAAGACTTTCTGGTTTGTATCACTTATATCATTATATTCAGTAAAACCAAATAGCAATGTATGCCAGCGGTTCTGCTGGCCATCTGATTTTTTAAAGACCTATACAAGTTACCAAACCACCATGCACTGGTAGTCATTCAATATCCAATAGCTCACGTGACTACAGTCATATTTTTTCAAACTCTGATGGAATAAGACTTGACGTTTTACCTGAATATTGGCATAGCTGTCAGCCTTCCTTAATTCCAAAATGCTTTTCAGATTTTATATGTGCATCTCTGCTTGATTTGCCTAGTTTGTTCAAGATTTAGGTGACATGCTGTAGAAACTTCCCAAACTGGAAGGTAATGGTCCAGACGGGTAATCTTCCACTATTTCCTCTCATCTAACAGACTGCACGGATTTGCTTTTGGCTAGAATTGCATGCTGGAAATACCCTGAGTGCTCGATTGAAATCATGCTGCCATTTCTAGGTAAAACACTAAGAGAAACTGGGGAACTGAAATGCTGAAAAGCAGTGGGAGAAGGTGGCAGGAACCAGGAGAATTTAACCAGCATCTAATAACTTCTGCTTATGAAATATTAATAAATACATACACTAATTCTCCCAGTAGACAAAATATCTTTCAGGGTTGATCATATTTTACAGTATGTGTTTATACAGACAAAAATTGATAAATATTTTCTGTATTATTTTTGGCTGTTGAGAATGAAGCCAGAATGCACCCATATTTCAGAAAATGGATCAGCTTTTTAACTTCAGTGGGACTTTGCATTTTTAGAAAGGACAGAAGATGCCTTTTTTATGTGTAGATCTACAGCTGTTTAAAATAGTATGTTCGAGTTACACTTTTAACTTTTCACTTTTTTTTTTTTAAAGTTTGAAGACTGAAAAAAGAAAGAAGCAACTAAAATTGGATTCTGTACTGGTTTTCGAAGTTATTGATTGCCTGAGGCCTGGCATACAAAATACCTGCATTGTGACTGACAAGGACTCTAGTTGTGTCCTGTCCATGTCCCTTTAAACTCCTCCTCAGAAGTGAGGGCAGAGGAAGTGTTTACTTCTAACAGGAGGAATGTTTCCCTGGGCCTTAATTAACTCTGTCTTAGTGCACCCCAAAGTCTTGTACAGGTTTATTCAGTAATTTTCAGTAGAGCTGTTATGCAAGCACCAACTGGAGGACATAAAGCAGTGATCCTTTTTCAGACACAGGCCACTTTTCCACTTCTATGTTCATTACCCCTGGCTACCAGACCACTGTTTAAAATACTGAGCTGAGTAACAAAAAGCATCCTTTCCCTTTTCTTGCCAGATGTTTGCATGAATGTGTATATGCTGTCTCTTTACTTATGACTTCCTACTTAACATTTCTTCCCTAGTTGTGTCCCAGCCGCAGCACCCTTCCTTGAGCACAGCAGAGGAGCAGGCAGTGAGGGGATGCTGACTAATCCAGACCTTAGATTATTAGCTCAGACAAGATCCCTGATTTTTTTTATTACAAATGTTGAATAATCCCCATGCTGTGTGCTTGAGGAACAGGAATTCAACAGGTGCAAACAGAGCTGCAGATCTTGGATGTAACCCAGGAACCATGGGAGGACATGGTGGTTTTGAAGTCCACTGAAGACAGGAGGGCTTGCTTCCCTTAATCCTCAGTCCAGGGTGATGAGCTAACTTTGTATTAGTAGCATAAAATGTCATAAGCTTTCATTGGCTCTTGTGTCTCCTGGAGCCCTAATTTTGCTGGAATACAGCAGTGCTTGATTAACACTTCTTTGAAAAATGTTGCATAAAAGGAATTCAACTGAATTTGAGGAACTTCAACTGGAATTAAGGAATCCTTTGCTCTCAATGAAAGAAGAGATTGCCAAAGACAGTCTCTCCTGTACTAAAGAACGAGTTTGTCACCCTTCTCTAGTTTTTAAAATTAACTCACTTTCTTGACTTTGTTGCAGTGCTGCCAAGAGTTTTGCAACTCTGTTTGTGAATGTGGATGTCACTTCTGAACCCCATGAGGTCTCTGCGCTTTGGTTTTTGTGGTATGTGAAGCAGTGCGGGGGGACAACAAGGATATTCTCAACAACCAACGGAGGGCAGGTAATGTCAGCCGTCACCTTCTGCGGCTTCTGACAGGCCCTGTTTTAACTTCATTCTGTTGCTTGTTTATTTTAGTTCAGGGGGCCACCTGAGATGTCCATGGTTTTAGCCAGTAGCACATTGATAACTAGTTCTGTTCATTTACACATTAATCTGGATCTTGCAAAACTAATGGTGAAGGCTGTTCCTGTGCTGAAGGCATTGGCCCAGAGATGAGTAGATTTGTATCAGTTCATGACTCTGCCTTCCTTTTGGGCTCTGGTTAGAACACGTACTCTGCTTTTCCCCTTTAAGGAAAGAAAGTATTACTTATGCTTATTTCTGACGTGAGGCTGAAGCAAGCCTTACCACTTCAGAAGCACTTAATCGGGATGGCAATGCTAGCTGCACGAGTGTGTAGGGTGCTCCAAATTAATGCTGAAAATGTAGCCCAGAACTGAGTTCTTAGAGACACTAGCTCTCAGGATTAAAACTGTTAATATTTTAAAATCAGTTTGAAGAAAATGAACACCCCTGTTTCAACATGGCATTGCTCTGAACTGTTTGAAATCTGGTATATTAGTGCTGCTTCTGCATTTCAGGAAAGTAAAGTCTCTGTTAATGGTCTTACACTTGAGAAATGCAAATTCTACTAATTACGTTAGAAATAATTATATTTTAGAAATGCAAATTATTTAATCATAAATAACTAAAAATACAAAGAATACATTAATACATGATAAAGTGCATAAATATGCATAGCTAAGCAATAATTATGGATAATTTAACTGTATACACATTGCATAAAATATTATTTGAATTCTGTGTTATGCTAGAGGTGACTTGAGTTTAAGTTAGGTTAGATTACATACTGCGTGATACATTTTTGGTGTGAGCTATGACACTTCTTTATACTTTGTTATTTATTACAAGGATCAGGATTTCTAATTCTGACGCACAGACCTCTGCAGGGATAAGAGTGAACTCAGAGAAAAGTTTAAAAATTTAAACATGTCTCAGAATTCTTGCTGATTCACACAGGTCTGTGGAATCCATTTGGAGACCACATGAGAAGGAGTTTTCTCGTGAGGTTACTGATACTTCTAGTTTTGGCTGGTGGTGAAATACAGGAAGTGTTTGAGGAGCTCACTGAAAGAGAAGGGAATGTGAATACATTTCCCAAGTGAGACTGCTGAACTTTCCTAAAAAGGTTTGACAACAGAAGAATGGGATTTGGTTTGAATGCCAAGCAAAACGTTTGTCGTGATACATGCTTCACGTGCATCGCTTTGCTCATTCTGCTTTGCCGAGTTGTTTTCTGTGTTTCAGGAGAGGAAGTTTGTGGGGGGCTCTGGCCAGATCAGTGAGAAAATAATGGAGCGCCTGGGAGGCCGGGTGAAGCTGAGGAAGCCAGTCGTCCGCATCGACCAGTCGGGTGAAAGTGTCATAGTGGAAACCTTAGATCATGAATTATACGAGGTAATGAAACCTCTAACATTTAAGCAACTGTTAGGGCTGGGATGGCTAGAAAACCTTTAGCTTTTCCTTTTTGACTTCTCCAAAATCCTGTACAAAACTGTAGCAGAGGTTAAAGTGACTGTGACAGGAAGTCACAATTTCTCATTGTCCCTGAGTAATAGCAATGATAGAGCTTTAAAGTAATGCCTAGAAAGTAAAGTGTATATCTGAACTCTCTCTTCACTAGCATCTCTTCTTAGTATTCAGTTACCTTCCAAATTAAAGGACAGTTGTAAGGTGAACACAAAAATGTAGCGTAGTAATAAACTTTCTGCGAAAAACATTTCAGGCTTTGCTTCCGAGTTGTAACAGAAGAGTCCATGTGGAAGGGAGACCAATGGACTCTTGTAACACTGGAAATCTTTCCCCTGGCTTTTTTTCAAGTGCTGGGGAAAGAGCAGCTGCCCATCATTAGAACAGATGGCTGTTTATATAATGCTTGTTTGTTGTTTAACAACCAGGATTTTGTGAGGGTTCAGTTTTGCAATTCTTATGCTAAATGCCAAAATTGCTTCAAAAGATACACCCTGCAGCCTCCACAGATGTCTGCCAAGATCATTAGAGCAATATACTTAGGATGAAGTAGTGCAGAATGTATTTGGCTTACGTATAATTTCTTTTCCAGGGCAAATATGTGATCAGTGCCATTCCCCCAGCTCTTGGTTTGAAGATTCATTTCAACCCACCTTTGCCGCCAATGAGAAACCAGCTCATCAACCGAATCCCCATGGGCTCAGTCATCAAGTGCATTGTGTACTATAAGGAAACTTTCTGGAGAAAGAAGGGTATTACATTTTAATTGAAGGGGATAGTAGTGACAGAGAGAGGGAAGAGGGTACACGGTAATTGAGTAGACTTTGTGTTTAGAGGATGCTGGACCTTAGAAGGAGGCTCCGTACACTTCTGTGCCATTTTTGCCTTGCCCTGAGAAACTTGAGAGATTGGTTGGGAAGAGAGGGTGGATGGGAGAATAAAAAGGAGGAGGTAGGCAAGAAGGGAGAACTTGTGTCTGTTGTTTATTGCCTTGGTTGTTCTTTTTTGTCCTTTCCTTTTCCTTCAGTGGATCCTGAGTATGCATGTCTCCTACTTGTACCTTTAGATTACTGTACAAGTGATATGCGATGGAGAGAGGTTTTATCCCATCAGTTATCAGCCTGTGAAAACTCTGCCTTCTGGATGCACTGGGCAGGATTAATTTAAGGTGTCTTCACATAGACATCCCCAGCTGGGCTAGCCATCCTGCACTGCCTTTACATGCTGAATACTTCCATCATGATTCTTCAGATCTCTTTTAGAAATTACTGAATCAAAGACAATCTGCAATGTAATAGCACCCATTTCTCTTCGTTGGTTATAAAGAGTCCACATCTATGTTTGCCTACAAATGTCATCCACCCTTCATCTCTGTGAATGATTTTAAGAGTTCTGGATCCTGGCATATTCTAGCTATTAGGTTTGGGATGGCTTGGCAAGAGGTGACTCCCATTTCCTGGTAGAACACATAGTTTGCATACTGTGCTTTGCCAACACTGCTGTTGTTCTTTTAAGAACAATATTTTCTTCAAACTCTTCTTTAAAAAACAACTATGTTTTCAAAATAATGTACAAATATCTCCTTCTATGTCTGAAATAGGTGTCACATACAGAATCAATTGTGCTGGAGGCACTTGAACATCTTCAGTGTGTGAGAACAATCTGTTTCTGTGCAATTAATAATTACCTTGCTAACTGGGTTGCAGAATAATTATTTTTCTATCATGAATTCAACAACAGGAGATTCCTTTATTGACTTTCTGTTTTAAAGATGCTTGAAAAGGATTGTTAACTGTCAGCACATCTCAGATCTGAATTTTCTCTTCTAGAGGTGATCTAGCACTTCTCTGAGCCAAAGGAACACTACACTGCAAGGGAGGTGTGCGCTAATCTTTGTCAATTGATGCGGATTGCTTTACTTGGGTTTTTTTTGTTCTTTTTTCCTTTGTTTTCTTACCTCCCGACATTAGAATCATAGAATCAGAGAATGATAGAGATTGGGAGAGACCTCTGGATGTCATCTGGTCCAATGCCTTGCTCAAAGCAGGGTGAATTTAGATTAGGTTCTTTAGGGATTTTGCCAGTCAAGTTCTAAGTATTTCACAACTTCTTGGAATCTCGTTCCTACGTTTGGATACATGGATCCTAACATCTTTTCCGCTTTGTGCTTACCAGGGTATTGTGGTACCATGATCATTGAAGATGAGGATGCTGCAATTGGTTTGACACTTGATGATACTAAGCCTGATGGCAGCTTTCCTGCCATAATAGGGTAAGAGACAAAGAAGGTATCTGGTTAATACCTTTTTATTTTGCCTTAAAGGCAACAATTGAAACAGAAAACCTGCTACCTTTGAAGGGAAATGCTTTAAAATAGTTAAAGGGTTGAGTTTCTCCGTGTGTGGTGAATATGTTCTATGAACTTTATTTCCAGAAAAATTCTCCCTATGTTTTAATTGCTAATCTAAAGGAAGGAAATTCTGGTTTTCTTGTCTTTTTCTCATTGCCATCTTTTGCCTTTTTGTGTGGCAAAATACAAAACTGGAGAAGAGGAAAGGAAGGTGAAGAAAAAAAGGGAGCGATTGCAGAAATGTAAAGTTTTCTCCAGCTATTTTGCCTCCCCCACATCTTCCAGTTCTTTAAATGAAAAATTGTTTTCTAGAATTATTTTGGTTTGTTCTGGTTTTTTTAACAGCCTGAGAGTATGATCAGTCTTAAAAAGTTTATTTAACAATAATTTCCAGTTCAGTCCCAGGGTTTACCTCTTGTTGTTATGTGCCTGCACACGCTGCTGTATAAAATGAAGGTCATTGGGAATCAGCTCATAGAGATGTTCTAACGTGAATCTCAGAGTGGTTCCTTCCACAGTGAGTCCTGCAAGAAGCAGGCAGAGCAAATAACGTTATGCAGAGCAGTGAAATGGATGTTTTGGATAGAGACCCAAAAGCTAATACTGTGAATCACAAGCATTTCATCATAAGGTATTGGCATTTTAAATAATGCAGGAAATGTAGTAAAATAATGGAAGTAAATTGTTTGTGGTCTTCCTTTTTTTACAGCTTCATTCTTGCTCGGAAATGCAGAAGACTGACAGGTCTCACAAAAGAAGAAAGGTAAGTACAAGCACTGGAGGTCAGCATGGATCCTGAGTCAAGCTTGTGTTATAAATGACCAGAGCAGGAAAAAAAAGCCTCGATTTGAAGGAAGTTTTCTGTAACTTTGCAACAGTAGGAAGACACATCACATTAAGGAAGAAGGTCTCTTACTTGGTTTTGAATGAAGACCCCACAGAATTCCCACAACCGGGCAGCAGATGTGGCAGCTAGCACCTGCCCTTTGGACGCTCTCAGGTCCTGGTTCTCAGTTTCCAGCAGGGCTGCTCTGCTTATGTGACTTTGGCAAAAGAGCTGCTCTAATCTGCTGACTATGAAAGTAGTGTAGATATTCAGACTAGTGTAGATATTTAGACTGGATGTAAGGAAGAAATTCTTTACAATGAGGGTGATGAAACACTGGAACGGGTTGCCCAGAGAGATGGTGGAGGCCCCATCCTTGGAAACATTCAAGGTCAGGCTGGATGGGGCTCTGAGCAACCTGATCTTGTTAGCGGTGTCCCTGCTCACTGCAGGGGGGTTGGACTCTAAAGGTCCCTTCTGACCCAAAACATTCTATGATTCTATGATTCTACTGTCCTTGCTGGAAAGCATCCAGGGCCAGCCTCATCCCTCCCCACTGCTACCCCTTTGGCTTCTTGCAAGTGCACTGGGCTCTTTGAAAGCTTGTCAGAATGGACAGGTTTGGCCCCTGTGCTTGATTTTTTTTTTTTTTTTTTTTTTTTTTTCTAGTCACCCTGGAGGGTCCTTTCAGTGTCTGTAACTTAGTGCAACCTTCGGTCTGCTGTAGCTGCCACAGACAAGCCCTCTGCATCATGAAGGGGTCAAAAAGCTGCCTGCAGCTCTCCACTCTCAGTTGTGGGGAAAAAATACCCTTCAGGCACAGACGAAGGTCTCTTTTACTGTCTTTTTGAAACAAATCTCTGCATATAGTAGTGCTTTTTTGTTTATTACTAAAATAGAATTTACAAAGTAATGAGTTTTTTCCATCACACTGATTCACGCTATCTGATCAAATTAAAGCTACAGGTAGAGAGTGTGGATATGAGGAGAGCCTTATTTTGTCATGGAGAAAATACATTTGTTTTTAAAGCATACCACAAGGTATAGTGTGTCCAAGTAAATATTTTTACAGTAATAGCTAGTCTAACTAGAGAAGATGTAGTCGTCTCAGATTAGCTTTGCAGGTAGTCTAGCAGTCTGTGGATAATGGGTCTAAAAGGGGTTGTTAATGTCCCAGTCTTTTCAAATGACAGCCTGGTACCACAGAGCACTTTTAATTTTGGCTGGAATGGACAAAGGCAGCCTTTTCCTCAGAACTCAGGCTTTGAGACAGACCCCCAGCAGGTGACTGATGATAAAACTGGTGCAGGTATTCTGAAATCCAGTGTGCCCAGCATTTTAAGCCATCATAAATACTAACAGTCTTATGCTGTGTGTCAATACACTAGATACAACTGAGCATTGGTAGTATTTGAGACAGCTTTTTTTTCCTGTGAAATGAAAGGCTGTCCTGGCTGTTTGTGAGGCACCATGAAGGAACAGTTGCTTTCCCCTGGGCATTAAAAGCACTAGCACAATTACCTGACTCTGCTGCTGCCTATGGCCAAGTTTTAAACAAAAGGATTTTGAACTCTTGTCTATTGAGGAATAAACCTTAGACTAGGAAGGACTTTGCTTTGGTAAAGAATGGTTATGAAAATATGCTTGGGTTGGCACCTAATAGAGGTACCATGGTGCAGGGGGCAGGGGTGCCTCTGGCTCCTAAAGCCCTAGCTGCAGCCAGCCAAGGCAGGAACCCCGCTGGGCTGTATCGCAGCTCCTCTCCTGCATGTGAGCACAAGTCTCCTTCCAGTGGAAATCGGGGTCCAGGAGAAGGCAGAGTGCAAACCTGGACCTTCTCCCAGTATAGACTCAGGGTACAGCTAGTTTGTGTTGTTTAGATAGGGGGCTATGGTATTTGCAGGGAGGGATGTCTTCTGAGGACAGGCTTCTTGTGGCACCCTGCAGAGGGTGCATCTCGCTGAGATGCTGTGCTTGCCTGTCAGCACAAGCTGGGCTCTCCCTTTATCATGTTGATGGCAGGGTAAGTTTTTTGGTAATCCTTGGATATGAAGAGTAGGATGTAGAATCTGTGGCAGCTATCCTAAATCATGGCTGGGAACAGCGGTTGTGGGAGGGGATGGAGACTGTTTTACAGCCTAAGCCAGACTGAAGGGCGTAAAACTCAGTGCTGCCTTCCAGCTGGTCTTCCAGGCCAGGTGCCAATGAGTAATTACAGTGGTTAGATTGTGCCCTACCTACAGCTGTGCAGTGAAGGTGATGGCATCACACACGGCTGTGGAATAAGAGACCAGGGAGAAGAGCTGAGTGTCCGCATGTGCACTTCCTCCACACCAGATGCAGTATAACTCTCAACAGGACCCTACCTAGATAGCTCCAGGCATAACATTCCTTTTTATTTAGCGCTGGTGGCAATTTCACAGCTGAGTCCAAAGCCAAGAAATAAGGATTTTACTCACTTTATATTCCATATATTCCATGCTAGCATTAGCCATAAATCCATAAATAAGTATTTATTAAACTGTTCTAGGACAAAAAGTGCAGATGTTGCAGAGAGACAAGTGCTTCTGCAAGGATTGTTCTTATTAGGGGCAATGTCCTCAGTGATAGATTACCATTGGTGTAATTCAGTCCTTTAGAAACTGCATTTCTGTGGGTTTTTTTCCTGTCAAATAATACCTTATTATTGATGAATAATTCCTTCCAAGGTCAAAATGTCTTAAGAGTCTGAAGATGTTCTTGTCCTGAAGCTTAATATTTTCTTTTGCACAGCTATCTTAAACTAACTTTATCTGTATTTGCAATGTAGTTGGCAAACAGCAGTGAACTCACACCTTCTTGGAGCCCTGCAGTTGGTCATACATGAGAATCCCTATCAGCCTCTGGTATGCCATTTCCAGGCTCCCTGAAGGGTCTGCAAGTCACATGTGGAAAAGGGGCAGAGCACAGGCAGATCTAGAGGGGTCCTTCTCATCCCTGTTGTGGTGCTGGGAGGAGCAGAAACTGATAGGTCCCAAGATGATAACTCACTTTCCTGTGTGGTGTTACTGACCTGCCCTGAAAGCAGGAGCTGGTGGGCATTTGTGAGATGTGGTGGACAGACCTCAGCAGAGGCTTTGCTGGATCATGTTGTTAAATTGGCTTTATTCTGTTCAGACACAGGGTAGGTGCTGTTGGTCTGCAAGGCACAGTGGTCACCTCACTTAGGGAGAGACAGAGAGAGAGATGGAGGAAATAATTCCTTTTGTTACAGCTGCTTCTGGATTCATGTCACCCACTGACTGCAGAGTGATGTTCCTATATAGATCCTGCAGCTCTCTGAGCCCTCCTGGCCAGTCACTCTGTCACCGTGCATTTCTGCTTCTGGAGCAGGCAGACCCTTGTCCTCCACTCCAGGGTGCCAGGAAGGGGCCGATTCCTTCCCCTCTGCTGCTGCTGGGCTTGGCACCTACCAACAGCAGAATCACCCCGGGCCATGGCTCTTCCTGAACTGTAGCAGCCTTTGCTTCCCTGCTCAAGCCCCAACCTGCACGGGAGGACACTGTCTTCAAGGCCCTTCAGGTCTTTCTGTTTTGTCTTGGGTTTTTTTCTCCTCATCCCCTTTCTATAGAATTCTTTGAGTTCAGCTGCTCGTGGGTGTAGCTGGGCTCCTGTATAGCTGCGTTGCTTCATACAGCAGTATAGCTGCAGTTCCCTTATATGCTTATACACCTGCGAGTGTAGCCCATACGGTCACAGAGCTGGGACTGCTGTATTTCTGTGCCCATCATGGCTTTCTGTGGAGCGCAGGATTTGCTTCCAGAAGTAAACGTCTTTCCAGTGTTGTGTTGGCATGTTTGTTTTTCATAATTGTTAACTATTGTTTCATCTTGATCTTCTTGTGTTTGGGAATCGGTGCGGTGCGGCTAGCGGTAAACAGTAAGACCCAAAAGCTTGTAGGAACAAACTTAATTGCACTTAGGGTTTGCTACAGAATGAAGTGTATTCATGGATTTATAGACTCATAAACTAAAACAGGAGGAAATTTTATAGGTACAGAAATAAAGTACTGATTCCCTGAGAGCCTCAGGCTATCAATACCTGCATCTTTGTAGGAACAAACCGTAAGTTAGACTATGTGCCAAGACAAAAAAGTGCAGTGCCTTACTACTTTATTTTCCTGACAACCTAGAGAACCTTTGGGTAATATATGAATTCGTGCTGCTAGAGGGATCTTAAGGGAACAGCTTGCATATCTGCTGGTAAAACCAGCACTTATGCAGCACAGGAGTTTGAGTTCATTTCTAGTGATGCAGAGGCTGAGCAATTAGGACAGATCCCCAAAAGCTGGAACCTCAAGTTCACGCAGATATTGATACTGGTTCTCTTGAAACTAGGACATATTAGAGGTGGTTTGTTTTCTCTTTCCTTACACAGAAGTCTTCTGTTGCTTTTCTCTTGCAGGAAGATGAGGTTGTGTGAGCTTTATGCAAAGGTTCTGGGATCAGAAGAAGCTTTACATGTAAGCACAATCTAAACCATGGTGTCTCTTGTTGGGCTTCTTGAGCTGGGGAAGCACAGAATGAAACCAGAACACAGCAGTGCTGCGTAGCGTTTTGGAAAAGGTCCGTGCTACGAGAGCGCTTGCTGCCCTCCGTAGAGGAGTGGAGAGAAGGTTATGGCAAGTCTTGGGCTGTGTTTGACAGTGAGGATAAGAATGAGCTCATGAAATGGTTAAAAGGCGGATATGCTCTTGTCCAGCTTCGTGGGTTGCATTCACAGTGTTTACCACTATGCATCTCAGCTGTTCTCAGCTGTGACAGGCTTGCCTTTCCCTCTCAGTTGACACCAAGCATAATGTTTCTTCGCTCTTACTCGTTGCTAAGATCCATTGCTGCATGTGTGGTTTTTTTTTCCCTTTCCCTTGCCTTCTCTTCTCTGGAATGGTGAATAACTGATAGGATTTGTGTGATCTCACACATAGTTAATGTGATCAATGCTCTTTATCCTTTAAGGGCAATTTTACGCGAGTTAAAAGTTATAGACACCAATCTCAAGATTGCATCACTTTAAACATGATATTGTACACAGAACCATGCAAGTGTCATAATTGGCATTTGTAACAGTAAATATTTGTATCCAATGTACACATTACAAGTATTATACCTGTGTACACCAGAGGTTAATTTTGCTTTACATGGCTCAAAGCATAAATTTACACTGACAGATTAAGAGGATTATGTTCTACAGTGGCCAGATTAGCTACTTGGTTTTTTGGTTTGGGGTGTTTTTTGTTTTGTTTTTGTTTTTTTTTTTAATAGCTAGCAGTGCCTAAAATTAAGGCTTACTTTGTTGGGTCCATGCTGCATTACATGTGCTCATCTTGTCAGATAGTGACATGCAACACATCATAAACTATTCTTCTCTGCTGTCTCCTCAGTTCTTTTATCAGCTTCCTTGGGACTTTGTCCTTTCCTTGAGTGAATTAATCTCTGTTTTACAGCCAGTGCATTATGAAGAGAAGAACTGGTGTGAAGAGCAGTATTCTGGGGGCTGCTACACAGCTTACTTCCCACCAGGCATAATGACTCAGTATGGAAGGTACAGTGTCTATTTATAGTGGGCTTTGGAGTAGTAAGATAAGAGAAAGTTAATAAATATCCTCAGAAAGGGTCATAAATCCTCTGTCACTGTTTGCTTTATACCTTTAAGATCACTGGGAAATATTTTAAACAGATATTATAACCTTCCACTTGTCTCAGTTGGGCTTTGATGGACGAGTACAGTATCGTTAGGGGGTTTTATTCACTTTTGTCATTTGGTGAATACAGCTGACTGGGTTCTTGGAAGGGAGCTGGGAAGTTTTCACAGTCTGTTTACGAAACTGGCATTGGGTATTTGAGGTTGGTGTTACCGTTTCCAGCACATCTTTAGCTGTTTTTTTATAAATACTGGCATAGAGTTAATTCCTGCCAACACTGACAGTAATGAGTGATTTCTTTGGACTGTTCCTTTCCTTTTAGCAGTCAAGGCTTAATGTAGTAATCAGTGTGCTATTGTATACAGTCCTTTCCAACATAAGTTTTTGCATGAAAATAACATTTATGAAAAAGAAGGCAGCTTGCTGGTCAGACCACTGATTGGATTCAGAAACATAGTTTTTAATGTGGTGGCATGGCCCTACTTTTGAAGTATGAGTTCTCACAATTTAAAAAGAACTTACATCAATAAAGCAGTTGTAATGAAGAGCATGTGGAGGCCTTAGTATTTAAAGTAATTTTAATAATAATTATTGCAAATCTTTTTTTTTTTTTTTTTTCATTTGCTTGTTACTTCAGATATCATGGGGATGTACCTCAGAATGCTACACTGCCAATAATGCAGTAATGGTAGTTATGACACTGGCTAAAATTGTGAGGTAGAGTAAGTCTCATCTCAAACTAATTGTCCTTTACACCTACGAGCAGTGTAAATCTTTAGAAAATATGAACACTGGTGTGTTTACTCTTAAGAAATGAAATGTAATGCAGAGTCCCTCTCCAGCTCAGCTCATCCAAAGTTACTATCTTTAGGTGCTCGCTGTTACTTAAAACATTTTTATTCTAATATCAACCCAAGGATTTCAGTTATCTTTCCTGATATGGCTGATGTGACTTACTGCTTGTCCCACTCCAGGATTATTCGGCAGCCCGTTGGCAGGATCTATTTTGCTGGCACAGAGACAGCCACGGAGTGGAGCGGATACATGGAGGGGGCTGTACAGGCTGGAGAAAGAGCAGCCAGAGAGGTATAGATACAAGCCCAAAACAGGGGGGGACTGTCAAATGCCCTATGGAAAATGAAAGTGTTTCTGGTTGGAGGTGAAACGGGAAATGAGTGTTGACAGCTTCAGATGTTCTGAAATCTTGATGCATATCCCTGCAAAGGGGATAGACTTCAAAAAGGATGAAGGTTTTGCAATTGGATTTGGAATGCTTAGGAAGGGCTCTGGCTATTTCATCAAACCTCTACTCTGTTTCCAGGAATGAAATCCTTTCTTCTTTAATAGAAATCCCAAATTCTCACCTAGTCATTTTCCCCCCACATGGGCACTTTGTGTTAGTTGTCATGCTGAGAGATCGTGGCCATTAGCCTCACTAGGAACAGCTCAGTTCTGCAGCTCTGCAGCCCAAGTCAGTCCCTTACTCAACTGTTTCCAACAATACCATTGACTCAGTGGTATAGCAGTGAGACCGCCTTACATAAAGTCATCAAACAAGGACTTAAATATTTTATATTTTGCTTCTGAGAAAATGCCAATTCCTCAAGTATTTTCAGGATTATTACAGTTTATGGAGCAGCAAAAGAAATTTCATCTTTGTTTTATGAGGTGAAGAGAACTTCGTAGCAAAAAAATACAGTTGTGGAACAGAAATTGTCCTGGAGAGTTCATCTGGCCCATACCCTTGCCCCAGAAGACAGGGATCAACTGTCCCTAAACTGTCCCATTTGTGAAGGTTATACCTAATCTGTTCCCGAGAAGCTCCAGAGGTAGTGCTTCATGACCTCTCTAATGTAAGGACATTACAGCAGAACCTCCATAGGCCTCAGCAGAGAAATGGGCAAGTGAGCTTGACTGGTAAAAATTTTTATGTTTTCCTTTCCTCATTTACTTGTGAAAGGAAAATATGTTTAAAATCTAGTGCAAGAGTGTTTTTCACTCTCCTGTATTGAAAAGTTGATGGGGTCCATGAATCTTGTCTAGAATAAAAGCCCATTGTAAAAGATGGCAAGTCTTAAATCTGCAGGTGCCTGAAATAGGAAAACCATTAATATCACCACCTCCATTTTATTTTACTGTAGAAGAAGTTAATCTTGCTGCCTTTCATGACTATTATTTCAGATCATCTTTGCTGTCTTACTGATCTCTGGTATCTTTGATACTTCGAATGGTTACTTTTCCATCGTGAAGATTTTATTTTTAGTCTTGCTTTGCTCTGGCTGAAAGTCGTGGTCTGTCATCACTCACAGGATTCTGTTCCTCTTCTTGCATCATGGTAAAATTCGCAAAACAAGCTACTTCTGCCTATGTAGCTTGCCCATGCAGTAGCTGGTTTTGTGCACGCCTCACTTTGCCATGAGTGTATACATAACCTTTAGGCATATTCATATTACCCTCTTCCCATGGGTCAAGTCCCGATATCTTGCATGGACTAACAAAGAATAGAGAGGTTTTTCTGTTACTTTTTCTATTTTTCACTGGGAGAAATGTCTTATTAAATATCAGACCTCCCAACACATGAGTTGTACAAAGGTCACATTTTCTTTCAAAATTTGAATACACAGCAATTTATGTGCTCAATTGTTGTTTTCCTCATGCTATTTTAAAACAAAAATTGAAGCCAGCTCTTTTTCCCATTCAAAGAATGAAGGTACTTACTAGAGAATGTTATTTATTTTCAGATACTGTTTGCTATGAGGAAAATCCCAGACAGTGAAATTTGGAAGCCAGAACCTGAATCAATTGTAAGTCTTTCTGTAGATTAAATGGATATTTTTTCTGCAGTTTTGCTGATGAGATAAAGTTTTGTTGGCGGTTTTCATTTAAGTTCACTAAATCGAAGCCACAATAAACTTCCCCTTACTCACCAAAACTGCCCTTCCCTAAACAGGGACATGGTAGAAACTCAGGGAGGGCACCCATCTGACAACTCTGTAACACGGGATCAGAAAGAACTGCAGTTTTTAACCGGGCTCTGAATCCTTTCCACGTGTCTCTTTTTCCTGTTAACTGAGCAGAAAATTTTGATACGCAGTACTTCTTGATAACTTCAACTGCTTCAACCCGGTTCTGTTTCTGCTGCAAGAATCTCTGTTTGCACCCTGCCTCTCACAGTGGAGATGATGTTATGTTAATAATGGATGCTCTCCCCGCAGGATGTTCCAGCTTTGCCCATCACTACAACCTTTTGGGAGAGGAACTTGCCATCCGTGCCCGGACTGCTAAAGCTGATTGGATTTTCTGCTTTCTTCACCTCTGTGGCTGCAGCTGGGTTATTTGCCTACAAAAAGGGACTTCTAGTTCAAAACTGACAAAGGTGCCAGCGCAAAGCCTCACACTTGAGCTGTTTTGTTTTGTTTTGTTTTGTTTTTTCAGAAGTTTTTTTCTCATGTACTCCCTGTCTCCAAAATCACATCAGGGCTGGGGAAGGGGATAAAACAGTAGAGAGAAGAGGCTGGTGGGAGGGACAAAGGAAGGGGATCCATATTGAAAAAGAACCCCTTGAATCCAGGCCTACTTCTAACAGTAACTTTTTGGTTGTTGAATTTCTAGGATACCCTGCCAAGCATTACCACCTTGAGGTTTTTATCCAGATCTCAGAACAGAAGTGACAAAATGCCTCTATAAAGACTGTTCTGATGAGATTTCCAGTTGTTTTTATGCTTATATCTGAACCAGACTCTGAACTCCCAAGTCTTCACAGGCACTTCCATCTCTAGTTGTAAATGAAGGTTTTCTGCCTCCTTGTGTGGTAGACTGAGAAAAGAAATCCATAGCTTAAAGAATAATTAACTAGCTTATGCAAATTACTGGGAAGGATCTTTTTAGTGTTTTTATTTTTTACCCAGATGTCCAGAGCCTAGGCAGCACCTAAGGGACAAGTCAGGCTAAATTTATCCATCCTAACTATGCAAGTGTGGCCATAGGCCGTTGGCATTTCCAGTGGCACATTTGTCCTACTTGGAGTTAAGGGACAATGTTTTACTGCCTTTGGCAATGTGGTTGAATTTCGGGCTCCCCAGCTGTGTTCACAATTCTGGGAGTGGCAGAACTCTTGTATCCTGGTCGAGTCTGTCCCTGCGTGGGATCAGATCTCCTCTGCGTAGGCTGGCTCCAGACTGTAGCTGATGCGTACAGCAGTAAGGCTGCTGGACTGGAACAGGGAACCTTGTGCTAATGTACAGACACAGCCTTTTGAACCCTTTTCACCCTGACACCTCTTTGCCCCCAGGGCGGTCTTTTAGCTCCCTAAGTTGTTGCAAGATAGCAAGAGAACAAATTAACCTCTGCCTACCCCAGGAAGTTGTAAAGCTGTCCATAAAAAACACTTTTACATATTTTTTCTTATCGCTTTCCTTCCTTTCATCTACTTTAAATTTGTACTTTGAACACCTTGAGGCTGTCTTTTGCCTGATAGGACACAATGGGCTTGAAAATGTAGTGTTAACATTAAAAAACAAAGCAAACCAAAACAATTAGCACTTCCACTTCTGCCTGCTGTGCTGTGTTGTACTGACTGTGCACTTTTGGTAACTAATCGCAGATCTAAATGAGAGAGATCAAAGAGAACCATGGATAGAATAGTCACAGGGGAGTGCATCTGCCCTCCTTAGCTTGGTACCTTTCAAACAATGTTAAAAAAAAAAAAAAAAAGGGGGGGGGGAAGAAAAAAAACCCCTGAGCACCAAAACCTTTGGTGCCTGCCTATTAACACAAAGGTACCTTATTCTGGGTATCTCTGCACTTTTACATCTGCACAGCACAAAACAGGTTTTTCTGAGAACATGATTTGGTGTGCATGAAGTTTGAGATGTCTGGAATTTCTCTGAGCCTGTTTACTGCACTCCTCCCTTCAACCAGTGCTGATATATATGTAAAAAAAATTACATTGCAGTAAAAAACTCTGGAGGGAAGTATAATAATATATTCAGCAACTAGTGTGAGCAGACAGTAGAGGAACTGTATCGCCGGTCTCAGGCAGACTTTTTGGACTAGCATCTGATCTTGCTTGTGCAGGGTAGTACTTCATTCTCCAAATAGTCCCATAGAAATCCACTGAACTACTTAGAAAGCTGTAATATTTGTGAGCAGCACATCAGTTTCTGGCCCTTAGGTTTCATTCTTTTTAACTCGATGTGCCAGTTAAAAGTCTACTTGTAGCGGCAGCTTGGATTTTATCACAAATGAATAGCCTCATAACAGCCTTTTAAAATGCATAGGGGAACCTTTCATACGTAAAGATCTTTAAGTCAGAACAGTAGTACAGCTGAGTATGTATGGCCCTTCTCATTGTATCACATAGAGCACTAATGGGCTGGGACATTTGCCTACCACAGAGCGCTTCTACCTGGCTTTCTCTCTGTGATTTATTTACTAAATGAATTAGGAACGGAAAGCTGAATCAGAACTGTGTAAGTTGAGAACTTTTGCAACTCAGACAATTCTCAGGCCAGAAATAGAGGAACCTAAATTTGGGAGGAGATTTTTAAAGTCTCGGCCCAATATCTGTAAGCGCTAGATGGTCAGTACATACTTAACATATAAAGAACTGCTGCATTTGCAGATGATTTCTCTGCCAAAACTGTTTGGAATCCAAGTCCTGCTTCTGCCCTAGAAATAATCTGTAGATCTCTAAAGGGGGGCAGATCCATGAGACTAATGAGGATAAATTGGTTTTATTCACATCCAAAATGTGTACCTCTTGTCTTTGCTCCTGAATTTGTCAGAGATTTTTTCCCAGTCTAACAAGAAAGTGTTGTGTGCCACAGAGACAGAAAATTCAAGGAAAAACAGAAGTTAGTTATAGTTAGAACTGAATCATAACCAAAACTTTTCATGTGATTGGTCAATTAAAAAAAAAAGTGTATGTATTTACAAACTTTTCCTACTTTCAAAGTGAAACAAAAATGAAAAAAAAACACCACCAAAACCCCCACAAACCATTTATCTTGTTATTCTGCCACAACTAAAAGTAGGTGTGACTTGAAATCTCAGATTAAATTTGTATCCCCTGAGATTCTAGACAAATCTGATGGAGCTGGGAGGTCTGAACTGCAACATCTGTATTGGCACTCGAAAGTCTTTGTCTTCTTCCTTCTAGGCTGCCAAAGCATTAGGAATGCTCTCTTTGTCTTTGCAGCCATGTCTTGCTACAATTATGCTGTGGAGTTTATCACCACTATGGGATTAAAAAGAAGGATTTGCTGCTGTTTTCTTGACATCTTCCGCATAAAAGGAATATGTGGCACTTTGTGTATGTGGATACCAGTGTGATGAGAAAATTGACGAATGTAGGTGGAGAATCAAGTTGCTTCCCCATGGGTAGAGGGAACTGTTAGCACTGGCTCACGTGCCAACACTTCAGAGAGAGGAATGAAGTCTGGTTTAATGGGTAACCAGTCATGCTATATTCTTAATTTATTAACATGTTTGAGAAATCTGCTATCATGAAAGTTCCAGCAGTTTACCAGCTTGGTAAAATGTATTATAGGAACAACCATGGAAATAATTGTATTTGTCTCTTATGTACTGATTTGTGTTGTCATGCATATTCTGTACGGCTCCTAAGAGTTTTGGGGGAAAAAAAAAAAAAAAAAAGGTGTACTTGCTTGTACGCTGTTCTGATAGCAACTGTACATCAAAAAGAGTGTCGGGTCATGGTGTGAAAATCTGTTAACCAAAGTACTTGAAAGCTAATTGTATAAACTACTCGACAGTAACAAGTGAGCAATCTGAGGCAGCCCCTTGTCTTTCCTTTAACTACTGCATTTTTTTTTCTCAGTGCAGATCTTGATTCCAAATCTGCTGCCAATAAAACAAAGACATTAATCACAATTAAGTATATGTCTGAGCATTGTCCATCACTGGAACCCAGGGACTGGAAGAGAAGCTAGGGACTTCTACTAAAATACTCTTCCTATGTCCTCAGTGGGACTATAGTTTCACTGAGGTAGACTTTACAAAAGTGCAGAAATTTTAAGATTTTTTTTTTTTGAGACATGAAAGAAAAAGGTTTTTGAGGAAGAAGGAATTGAATGTCCTCCAAAAGTACTTGGATGCAAAAGGGAACCAGGATTTAATGACAGCAGATCTGCCACTGCTCTCAGGCAAGAAGCAAACCCACTGAAATAGCAGATTACGAATGCTCACAAATAAACCTGACCTGTGTTTAAATGGACTAACATTCCCTCTCCCGTCTCCACCACCTTAAGATCACCTTGGTCTTACAATCTGTTCTATCAACAGAGAAAAACGAGATGGCCAAAGCAGTCTTGCTTCCAAAGTATCTCTACAGTCAAACCGTGTAGGCGTTGTCATAGACTGCCGCTTATAGCGTGTCTCCTGTGGTCATGTGCAGGTCAGTGTTCAGTGATGCCTGCCGCTGTGTTTTGGAAAAAAAGAGTGACTTCACTTTGCAGGAATATATATGCTGTGTGTGTGATGAATTTGTGCCTTTTATAACTGTAGCATTTTCTCAAGTGCCTCTGTGGTGACTGTCTCCCTTGGTTTCCTTCTTAAGTTCCCTTTTCAATAGGCTCTGCGGATATTTTTATCTGACAGCTGTGAACTTTTTTTAACCTTAATTAGAATCAATAAATATTGTCATGTCACACTTACTGTTTGAGGCTTTTCTTTTGTGGAAGCCCCTTTTGACTTGGTTGTGATGGTGAGTATTACTTAGTAACACAACATTTTGCATTTCATAGAGAAGCCAGTGAGGTATCTTCAGCTTTTGTCAGTAAAGCTGTGTAAAGAAGGAGAGAAGGATAAAAAACCAAAACAAACCCCCCAAAAGCCAAAAAAACCCCACATCACACACACACCCCAGACCAAACACCAAAAAAATCAAAGCACATTTGGCAATAATTCTTCCTACCATAGAGATGGCCAACTGTCTTGTGCTTAAGAATTAGTTTTTATTGCTGTAGGTGGATTTGGAGCATCCCCATCATGAACATACCTCTCACAGCACCTTGTTTACCAGAATGCGTAGGGGCAGGGACATGTTTTAGAGCAGCTCCTGGGAGCCAAAGGCCGGTGGTACACAGCTGCAGCTGAACATGGGAAGAAAAAGATCTCATACCAAATACTGTGTTGTGTAAGCATAAATTAAGAAGAGAGACAAAAATCACTGGCTTAATTTCATCTCAGTGTGCATGCCGGAGTGATAATGTAACCGAAGAACAAATTCAGCCTTGGGAAGGGACCTGTGTTTCACAAAAACGCAGTCTCTGAAAACTGGAAAAAGCGTAACCATCCATGTGAAAAACGCATCAAAAGCATGCAGTGCTCTTTGTATAGGCTTAACTTTCAGTATTACTTACAAGTTATAAAGGAACACAAATACCATGAAAGCAAATACCCTCCGCTAATCCTTTGCATGCTCTGTAAAGCACCCCTCCCCTAAGAAAGGCAGGGGCACCAGCAATGCATTTCACAGGCCCTTGATGCAGCTCACAAATGGTGATGACGCTTAAACATTGCTGCCCTGGGTCAGATTTGAGCTACCTCTTTAACCCTTTGTTCAGACATATCCTGTGGCATCCCTGTGGTACCGAAATGGTATTATTGTTATTTTTATTTACTTATTTATTTACAGCACTCTCAGTGTGCATGTCAAAGAGACAATGTCAGCCAGGGGGGCACTTCAGCATTTCCAGCAGTCCACCGTACAGAAAATTGATTTGGACAGATTAATACAGGAGAAATGCATTTTGTTTAACATGTATAGAAGACAGTAATATGATTTCCTGAGAAACCATTTAGAAATGCCACTCATTGTTTAGGAGAGGATAGGTCGTGTTTGCAAATTAATTTGGCCAAATCATACAAAACTCACTTCTAGTATGAGAACCAAGGATCTTTTTTTCTCCTCTCGCCTTGTATAATTATACCAATTACTCATCTGAAGCAAATCCGGAAATGGTTGAGGGATTGATGAGTTTTGCCTTCTGGCTCCAGGCAGGATAAATTCCCCTTGGGCCTGAGAGTTGCCTCAGGAAAAAGCATCCAAGAATGAAAGGCGAAACTGGCCTCGGATTGTACAGAACCA